TGGCATGGTGCCTCTTTCGGCAGCTGTATAAAAGGCTGTGGGTTAAGAAAGTGGTGGTTATTCCTGCGAGTGCCACTTTGTATACAACAGTGGGTGGGAACTGTATGCACGCAAGCAGTGACTGTGATGTTCTGCGATATTCACAGCCCAGGGCTAAGACGCTTTGTAAGCATTGCCTCAAGGATGGCTGGGTGGTGAATGCCGAGTTCCTTGGTGAGGAACGGGCCGCTGGAACGTGAATTTTTTTAAGTGCAAGGTGAAGAAACCCTCAATGGTAAGGGATTCGGCCAATGAGCTGAAGGTTCGTCCTGGATGACGTAAAACCATAATGTGCATTTCAAGCAGCTGGCTGCTGCCTAAATGGCGGTTTTTGGCCAAAGATCTGCACCTCCAATGTGTCCTAGGAAATCCTAGGACAGGGGGAGTGCGGAGCTGCAGCTGGTACTGTAGAAAGGAGTTGGTGTTGGGAGTTGAAAGGGTCAATGTACCCGGAAATTCTTTTGGCTCAAGGAACTTGGGCATGCGCCCTGAAGAAAGAAGTGTGTGTTGGTTTTGGGTTGGTTTGTTGGTTGGTCCGGGGGATAAAGGGCTTCTGTTGGGGTTGACTGTTTTGTTCCCTGTCCTCCTTCGGTTGCCCCCCGTATAGGGTTTAGGGTTTAGGGCAACGTTCGGCAGTGCTTCCGCCCTGACGAAGGTTGAGGGCACAAGTGTCGAACATGTTTCCCTGCCTGATCATAGTTTTGAGAGCTAGTAAGCAAGTAAGTAATCATAGTCGTTCTGCAAATATTGCTGTTCTTGAGAGCCGAATAATGTTAAAGCGGGGTCTTTTCTGAGGGCACACTGGGATCTTTGGACTTTGCGACTCGCGGAGCAGGGGGACGGGGCGCGGCGCTTTTTGCGTGCGGCATTTTCTTGCGCGTGGCATCTCTTGCGTGTGGCTCTTTTTTTCGCGTGTGGCACTTTGAGGGTTTAGGGTTTCGGGTTTAGGGTTTAGGGTTCAGGGTTTAGGGTTCAGGGTTTAGGGGTTAAGGTTCAGGGCCTCTTCGGGCTCAGAAATGGGGATGGGTCATGAATTCCGGCTGGCCCCCAGGCATCCTCAAGGGCAACATCCCATTTACACACACCCTGAACCCTAAACCCCAAGCCCTAAACCCTAAACCCTGAACCCTAAACCCTAAACCCGAAGCCCTAAGCCCTAAGCCCTCAGCCCTAAAGTTCAGTTTGACTTTCAACTTTTTCTGAGAATCCGGCCGAGCAGGCCCATGATGGTATCCTGCTGCATGTCCAGGGTGATGCCCTTCAATGCCTGTGGCATACGAAAGAGCGAAGAACGAAGGAGAGTTTAGGGTTTCGGGTTTAGGGTTTAGGGTTTAGGGCTTAGGGCTTAGGGTTTAGGGTTTAGGGTTTAGGGTTCAGCATCTCAAGTTCGAGCATTTACTAGGCCAGCAGTGTGTGTAGGCAACGGAAAAAAAACCACCCGCCCAAAGAATCCCATAACATTAAGAAAATAAAAAGTTTTCTTAATTTCTAGTCCGACGCACCCATGCCGTAACATCTCACCCCTTCACTGTCACTCGTAACGACTCACCCCTTCCAAGCACATCACCCCCCGATAAGCAAGACCTGGAATCATGCTTGGAAGGGGTGAGATGTTACGAGTGAAAGTGCATGATTCCAGGTCTTGCTTATCGGGGGGTGATGTGCTTGGATGATGTGCTTGGAAGGGATGAGACGTTACGAGTGAAAATACATGATTCCAGGTCTTGCTTATCGGGGGGTGATGTGCTTGGAAGGGGTGAGGCGTTACGACGGGCCGATCCTGGGGTCACCCAGGGGGGGGGGGTGGGGGGGAGGTGGGGGCTTGAGGCCCCGAAATTCACCGTTGCCGACTTTTGAGGGCCCCCCGAAATTCACCGTTGCCGACTTTTGAAGCTCCCCGAAATTCACCGTTGCCGACTTTTGGGGCCCCCCGAAATTCACCGTTGCCGACATTTGAGGCCCCCGGAAATTCACCGTTGCCGACTTTTGAGGGCCCCCCGAAATTCACCGTTGCCGACTTTTGAGGCTCCCCGAAATTCACCGTTGCCGACTTTTGAGGCCCCCGAAATTCACCGTTGCCGACATTTGAGGCCCCCGGAAATTCACCGTTGCCGACTTTTGGGGCCCCCCGAAATTCACCGTTGCCGACATTTGAGGCCCCCCGAAATTCACCGTTGCCGACTTTTGGGGCCCCCCGAAATTCACCGTTGCCGACATTTGAGGCCCCCGGAAATTCACCGTTGCCGACTTTTGAGGCCCCCCGAAATTCACCGTTGCCGACATTTGAGGCCCCCCGAAATTCACCGTTGCCGACTTTTGGGGCCCCGAAATTCACCGTTGCCGACATTTGAGGCCCCCCGAAATTCACCGTTGCCGACTTTTGAGGCCCCGAAATTCACCGTTGCCGACTTTTGAGGCCCCCCGAAATTCACGGGGCCTCAAAAGTCGGCAACGGTGAATTTCGGGGGGGGGCCTCGAAAGTCGGCAATTTCACCGTTGCCGACTTTTGAGGTGCCCGAATTCACCGTTGCCGACTTTGGAGGTGCCCGAAATTCACCGTTGCCGACTTTTGAGGTGCCCGAAATTCACCGTTGCCGACTTTTGAAAGCGAAATTCACCGTTGCCGACTTTTGAATTAGGGTTTAAATTATCATATGATAGAGAGGTTTAGGGTGTAGGGTTTAGGGCTTAGGGTTTAGGGTTTAGGGTTTAGGGTTTAAACCTTAGGGTTTAGGGTTGAGGGTTCAGGGTGTAGGGTTTAGGGTTTAGGGTTTAGGGTTTAGGGTTTAGGGTTTAGGGTTTAGGGTTTAGGGTTTAGGGTTTAGGGTTTAGGGTTTAGGGTGTAGGGTTTAGGCTTTAGGGTTTAGGGTTTAGGGTTTAGGGTTTAGGGTTTAGGGTTTAGGGTTTAGGGTTCCGCCTGCTTTCCGTTTGCAAAGGTCTTGGACAGGCCCTTGAGCTGCACGGACACTTTGGCGGCCACCTTGGCTTGGGCTCTCT